GACTGGAAACTAAAGTGTGCAAATCGAGTCGTTTTATCTCAAGCAAGCTTACTATAATGAAGCCATACCAGACAGTACTGTATGACGCGCCGCCTGTCGACTGCGTGGCCCCACTCTATGATTATGACGCGCAAGCATGCCAATGGTGTACCATACTACGACGTAGAGTCCGATAGTACTTGCAGTAGGGCTGTAGACATTTTCGAACGCGTCGCCTGTAGCCCTTGTGTTCAGTTGATCGACTACAGTAGTGTGTCGACGCTGCAACACGCCGTGGACAACCCCAACCCTAGTGCGAATACAAAGAAATTTCGGAAAAGACGGACGCTACATTAAGAATCACATCATCGTCTACAGTGCATACACAACCGGTACTGACGTGGATGAACTTAATACGCGGGGTACGGCGCGTCCGTGCTCGAGGGCGCCGGCGTCGTCGCCACCGGTGTCATCGGCGCAGTGGTCGTCGGAGTAGTCGTCGTGGGTGCAGCCGTCGTCGGAGCCGATGTCGTGGTAACGGCCGTCGTGGGCGCAGCCGTTGTCGGAGCAGACGTCGTGGCAATGGTCGTCGTCGGTGCAGCAGTCGGCGCAGGCGTCAACGGCGACATCGTCGGGGCAAACGGCGACGGCGACGGGCACTTGTCCATAAAGATGAGCTTCTTCCCGACTTGGACGGTCGTCGCAATCGCACCGACAACATCTTCGCTAGCAATGCTCAGAGCCACCTTGACCGCGGCGCCCACAATCTCGACCGTACTCGAGGCACAGGTCGCACTCGACGACGCACAGAAAAGACCGCACCGGAACGGCGTCTCACCCGTGCACTTGGGCCAGCAGAGCGGGCCGAGGCCCATGTAGCCCTCGTCGCACTTGGGGTAGCAGAGCAACCCGCTTTGTTCGAGGCCACCGTTGCAGCCAAGACGCGAGACACCGACGCCACGGCCATAGTGGTCCTTGCGGCAAAAGGCACCGTCGTCGTGCGAACCCGCGGGGCAGTCGGGGGTGCAGATGCAGCAGCCAAAGTTATGGTAGCCCTTCTCGCATTTGGGGTACCACATGAGACCGTTCTTCTCGCAGCCTTGCTTGTTTTGGCGGTTGCACTTGTCTTGGTTCCAGATCGCGTAGCCGGCACCGCGGCCGTACGCCTTGGGCTTGGTGCACGACATACCAATGTCGGTGACGCCGTCAACACCGCAGCCCTTCTTGCGACAGATGCAGCAGCCAACGTTCTCGTAGCCTTCCTTGCACTTGGGGTAGCAGAGCGCACCCCACGGCTCTTCGCCCGCGATACACTGGTTGGAGAGCACCGTGCCGACGCCACGCCCGACAGGCTTGCGCATGCACACCTTGGGGTTCGGATCCAAGAGCGAGAGCACTTGCTGGACCGCTTGCTGGACGCCGTTGGCAATGTCAATGCCCTGCGCCGGGTCGAACGCTTCGAGCTTGGACGGCTTGGTGACCCGCGCGACGTCCTGGAGCATGACCTCGCTGCCGTTCAAGTTGTGCAGCGCGACCGCGTTGGCTTGCTCGAGGTTGACCTTGATGCTCTCGCGCAGTGTTTCGTTGAGACCGTCCTTGGCGATCGTCTGCATGTCCGCAATGAGCTGCGCAATGTTGCCATCGACGAGACGAAGCGTCGACGCCATGTCGCCGGCTTCGGGCTGCGCGTAGATGGCGACCGGCGCCGCGAGGCAAGCAAGGAGGTATGCGAGTTGCATGGTGGAAATGGTGGAAATTGAAAAGTGAGCACTCGCGGAGCGATGGCTTGCGGTACGACAGACGGTGCGACGTACAGACACGGTCGTTGAGAGGCAGTGTGCGCGGCCTTGCACGCATGGAATGTTCAGCGAAGGCGCGTGGGTGCCAGTAGGTGCTACAAGTATGCTGGCTCTCGACCATGTTGCACCGACATTGCCAACAACTGACAACGTGGCTGACGTGGTGAGTGTGGGACCGAGAAGAGGAAGATGCTATCTCGCAATGTCCAAACGGTTCTATCCAGTGCAGGCGCTGGCCGTAGAGAGCCGCCGACGGCCATAGAGGGGGCGTGGCGACGCTACAACGTCCATGTTTGCGTGTACAGCCAACATATCCTTATCATGAGGGTCATGGTCGGAATACAACTTGCATCTTGTACGTGGCTGCCACGATTGGTATCCGTGGTTTGAAAAGACGTCTGCTGCTGCCTGCTTGTGCCTCTCTATCAATGCACAACAAATGGATCGCCCATGCACGACCCAGATGCTCTTGATCGAGGGTACGTGTCCCGTATACGTGGCTGTAGATGCACCTTGGTACAGACCATCCGAGGCACGCGACGACACGACCCCTTGCAGTGATCGCGGCGCAGCAGACAACGCACTGTTGTTGGGTTCTCAGTCCGTCAGCACCTAAAATTCGGTGCTCGCTCCGTGATCGCATTTCCTTCTGGCCTTGGCTGTCCGCACCACAGTGAACAAAACGCCTTGACCATTTCGTGTACATAGCCTTGTTTTCATCGACAGCGATCTACTAAGCCGGTAAATGATACCCAAAAACCACACTTCAACAACAAAAATCGCATCGCATGGTACTGGTGTGGAAAAGGGCCAACGACAAGAAGTGTACGGTGCTCCAACCATCGGGATCGCACTTCAACGACAACGACGATACGAGCTACGCGGTCACCAAAACGCACTGCAGCGTCGTGCGTTGCATATCCCATTGCCATCCACCCACTCTCTACACGATCTGTCCGCGCGCCTTTGTGTTCGAAAAACTAGCTAACGCGGTTGAAAATCTCGGTTAATGTCATCTTGTAACTTAAAAAGCCACAAACGACTTTTCGTGGTAAGGTTTTAGGGAACTTACGTGCAAAGCGCGAAAAGTGTAGGTCGCCTGCGTTGTGCGTACAGCGCTGGAGGAAGCTCTTGAGCGTAAAAGGGCTGGATCACCCGTCGAGATACCACGGTCCTCTTGCGTGTATGACTCTTTTGGCGCCATCATGACAATCTGGGCCGTCGAGCAAGGATCTCGGCGCCGAAAGTTGAAATTTTTAGCCCTTGTCGGTGCATACCTGGGACCCGCCGTTATACCAACTATGTCGCGGTAGGATGGAATCAAGGCTGTGTTGCAGATTGTTGTGTCTGATTTGGTCAAGCCATGCCAGGCCGATGCAAGCGTGTATCGCTGGAGAGTTATGACTCCAGGAAGCGAGTAGCCTAGAGTCTGGGTAGCCTGTGTGCGTGGTGTAGATAGGATAGTGCTAGGAGCCATATGCGGATGATACCCGGTAGCGACCCTACATGCTATGACCCATCATAGAGCCTCTTGACGAAGGTCTCATCTGGCACAGCCTATCGTTCTATCCACAACGCTGGCCTCCATAGTCTCAGTTCACAATCTGCCTTCGTGGCGGAAGTTACGCCACGA